CAGCTATCCAGGTGAGTGAACCGTCACGAAACACCAAGGGGCATCTCATGAACTGTGTCACCAATTATTCCAACACATCACGGTATTTCTCATCTGGTCCCTCATGCAATACGTATCTCATCAAGACAAATATGTTCACACGGTCATGGAGGAGTAAAAGACACTCAAGGTGGCACATGGGCTGAGAAGGGTTTCTTCCTCTTACACTTGACTTGGTCATAAATCTCACTTGGTGGTATTGCCTCATTTCCTCTTAGATCTTCCGTCGTCGCAAAGACTGGAAAAAAAAGAAGACGAAGGCCAAGAAAAGCTCCCAGCGCTACGCGTCAGGCCCCGTCGATGACGTAGCCGCCCCTCTTCAACACCACCAAACGGGTGACATTCGCTGCAACCTGACCATCAAACACCTGGGGACCCGTTTCCCTTCCAAATTCCACCTCACTAAGCTAGGTAATTACTGTGTCACTGTCCATCCGTATGAACTCTCCTACGGCACCTTACCTACCTTACTTTAGTACGGATAGGCATTCCCGATTCCCAGTTCTCCCTCTGGCCTCTGCATCTTCGTAGCTCGACGGATATCCACCAACCCGTTACTAGTCGCCCGCGTCAAATCATCTTCACCATGGAACATGCTGTCACCAACATCACACACCTCAACCAAAGCAGCAGCACGATCCTACCATCTCGCAAGGACGTGACGCATCCGTCCCACCCGGCCGGGCCGTCCAGTATGTATTCCCATCCAGAGAAACGCCACATCAACCATTCACGTGCCACTGAACCAGCAACACCCTGAACCTCTCCAGCTGAACCTGAAGTTCACGGCCCAATCAACGCCCAGCCGCAGCACACACAACCCACCTGAGCTTAATCGAGGTCATGATCGTCTCACACCCACCCTCAGCCAAGTGTCGTTTTCAAGAAGAAAAAAGAAAGAAAGAAAGAAAGAAAGAAAAAGGTTGCCGATTGCCAAGCACCCCAACTTCCTTCCTCATCAATCAACCATCCTTTTTCCTGTTTTGTTTCTCCGTGTTTATCGCATTCTGGCTGCAAACAATCCCCCGAGCCCCCCGGGGCCGAGTTCCATCGGCATGCCCGGGCAGTGCCTCCAAGTTTGAGCTGTGTGCTGACAGGAGTGTGGCTGCGTGGGGGGGAGAGCTTGCCCATCGGACATTCACGAAACCCCTCCATCCGCTGTGATTCAACAACGGTCGACAGTGGTGAGTGCAGCCGTCTCTTCAGACGTACGAAATTTTGATGTACTGGAGCGACACCTAGAACAACACACATCAGCACTATTGCCACACGATTACTTAGTGGATTGGAAGTCTGCGTGGTGTAGTCTGTATCGCCTGGTCTTTCGACGCAGCAAGGCAACACACCCACTAACTCACTGAGATCAAATTCTGCCCTTTGATCACCACGATATAGCCAACTCTACTTCCCTTCACCACCACATACGACCATACCCATTGGAAAACTCGGGATCCCGTCCGCTCTCCCATAGATAAGCCAATGAGGGCCGGATTAGTAGTTGGGTCGGTGACGACCAGCGAATACCTGGTGTTGTATGTTTTTGAGGTTTTGCTCCATACATCGTGAGATTGCGCGGTAATCTAAGTTCGCGAATCTGCGGTTGCTGCATACTGACCATCCACAACATTTTTGGGGGAACATTTTGCAGGGTAATGGAAATGTGCTTCCTTTTTTACGATTTTCTGTTATCTTTGATTGGATTGGTCTCAACTCCGCGCCATATTGCCTGCAAAGCACACACGATCCTCCTCGATTTAGGTAGATAGAATATTCATCTGCAGACTTCTTCCGTGTATGCGGAACATCCAAGCACGGAAACCTGACCTCGAATGAACCCTAAGTGTTGTTTACCCGTTGTTGTCCATGATGCCGAGTCTGTGCCTCTAGGTTTACGAGTAAAGTTGAAGTTGGGAAGTAGCGGACATATAGCGTTCATCTCATGTTGCTTCGAGATGAAGTGAATCTATCTTAACTCCGATCTCACCCTTCGATACTTCCTAGTGACGTCCGACCAAGTCTTCAGATCCAGCACAGATGTTGATGGTGAATAACACATTCATTAACGCACAAACGCACACACACATGGTTGAATTTCGATCTTCATCTCATCCACTCAAAATGCGTAAATTTTGCAGCTGCTAGGTGGCGGTAATACCGTCTTGGGACTGAGTATAGCAGTCCTCGGGATCCCAAACGCCATGATATGCTATGACCGTAACCCGAACGCTCGACGCCATCCTTAACGTTGCGATTGCTATGCCTCCTCTGGTTTCCAAGTTCACAACTCCAGCCCATATCGTCAAATCGAGCAAACACCTGTTCCAATTCATTTCGTCGTTTGATCCGGCCGCCAGGACCAGGCCAGCTCACATCCAGATCTCTTTTCAAGCCTCTGGCATAGGGGCACTGTCCGCTACGGGCTCCAAAGGTTGGAGCTTCGTCTTTCTCCGTGGCGGCGGGGCTTTTGGTGGTATCTTCTTATGTCCATTCAAATGCAACGTCGTCGTCGGTCCGACCGGCACGCCATGTCGGTGTTTTGGTACCTCGGGCAACGGCTTCTTCGGCCGCACAGCGCCTGCCCCGGCCTTTGCCTCACCTTGTTTGGCTTCGGCGTCTGCCTCGGCCTTGCGACTCGGGGTGATGACACCCGGTTTCTCCATGACGGCGGCGACGTCGACAACACTAACGCTGCTCGCCGTGTCCGAACGTGTGAGACTGATCCCCAGGAACTTCCGAGCCACCTCTGCCTCGCCAGAAGCCTCCTGGTCGACAAGCCATTTCACTTTCGAGACTCGGTCGACTAGACGCACCGTCGTTTCGTCCGCAGGGGCAAAGTGAGAATTTCCATAACCACCCAGAATCCTCAAGACCTTGAGTACCTCATCACGCTTGTAGTGCGGCGGGTGGCTCAGTTGCGTGTGCGCCAGGAGTGGGTACAGGACTCGGAGGTATGTGTGGCGAAGCGATATCTTTTCGTCTGGCAAATCCATCAGGTTCCTAATGATAACGTCAAGGAGAACCTTGAGGTCATTGGTGTAGAAATATTCATATGTGGCTTTGGTTGTAAATAATAGATAAAGGAGTTTCAGGATCAAGAGTTGCAGGGACGTCTCCGTCTCACGATTCAAAAGTAAAATGATGTTCTCTCCGAATGTGCGGAACGAATCGCCGTGGAGACTAAGGCACTTGATCACCCTATTCGTGAGAGGGGCTGTGGGCGAGTTCGGATCTGAGGCGACGTCGGTGGATGCGAGCATGTATTGTTCGTTGAGAACCAACTGTTTTCATATTCGTCAGCGCCAGTAACGAGCAGGAGAGAACACGGCGAGGAGAGTTATACCAGCACTCGGATAATTGGATAGTGATATGGGTCGTGAACGTCGTTGGATAACTCCTCGATGATCTGGAAGAGGTATGCAATGAAGCCATCGTCGACCTGGAGCAAGTCGGCGGTGCGCAACCTTTCGACCCGGGACATTTCGTACATCAGCTCCAGAAGCAAGCGATGCAGCCTCAGATCCTGGTCTTTACGTCCGTTAATCAGCTCGAGGAGGCGAGGGAAGCACGCCTCCTCGATCATACGAGAGTATAAGGCCTCATCGGCGTGGCCGTCGAGCAAAAGGAATAGTACAATGGCGTGCAGCGACGGGGGCTCATCCTCCTGCAAAAGGCTGTAGACGATCTGGTTGCGAATGTAGTCCTTGTTGTCTTGAAACAGCTTGCATTGCAGTAGCTTCTCGCAGCAGGTGGCGACATCATTTTCGTTCTCGGGGAACTTGTCTCTGAACCTCGAAGTAAGATAGAGCCACGATCGCAGGGTTTCGTCGATTAAGTCGTGGGACTGGTATTGGGTAGTGACGACGTCGTCGAGCTCTGCAGTTGACGACGAGACTCTGGTCAGCGACAAATCTTACGATGCGCACAGTGTGCGACGTAGGAAAGGTAAGGTCTGGGAGGAGACGAAGTAGACAACATCATGAACAGTAAGGCGGGGGAGGATGGAAGAAGCAACGAGGGGTTGGATTTGGGGGCGAATTTGGCTGACCTTCCCAAAATTGGTGCTTGGTCTCGAGAGACTCGTATAGATCGAAGTCGGCCATGATGCTAGAACCACCGCTGATACGTGGGTGGAATGGTCTGCATCACCGGCGCAGTGCAAACAGCGACTGCTAAAATATGGGAAGAGGAGTAGAAGAAGAAGAGAAGCGTTGGATACTCGGTGGGATGAAGATGAGGCCGGCTGGAGTTTCGACTCTTTGGGATTTGATACACCACATGGCTTGACAACAAGGTCCCCCTCTTCAGGTACCTAGTCAGGCCAGGGCAGCCTGGGGCCAGGCCCGAGCTGGATGAGGTAAGGACGGACGGTCCACCCTTGAAGCACTGTACAGGCCCACTGAGCGGCAGCGGCAGCGGCAGCGACAACACACTGAGTCCTGGACGGGAGTTGGTTGGCGGCTGCCATGCAGTGAGGGGACATTTTTTTTCTATTTCTTTTGGAGTGAAGGTGGGGGAAATGTGAAGCGGAGGGTGGGGATGGAGATGGAGGGGCTGGGGACACCGATCTTCCGCTGTAGTCGCTGCTCTGGTGACAGCGCAAACGTGCACCTGATCCCATGCCGCCCTCAAGTTCTTGCATGCCCCTCCTTGCTTGTTGTCTCTTCATGGCGACTCGTGCCTACCATAGAGAAACATTTGCGACCTTTCCGAGTCTGCACAATAAGGCCTGTCACAGGGTCACCTGTCAAAGCCTCAGAGGTTCATCATGTAAAAATATGCTGCGAGCTCTATGTATAGCGTGTATCTCGTTCAATAATTACCTATTAAGACACAAAGACTAAAGGCATGGAAACACAGAAATTCGTTGAATAAGAGGGTATTGTATCCGTGTCGTAACCATTCCCAAATGCTCCAAATACTCTTAGTACCCTTGCGCCAAATAACGCCTCTAATCGGACCGCTCATGAACTGTTGCCGACCAATTTTTCCAAAGTCTCCTCCCAGGTATCCTGCTCCTCATCGGGTCTTTGGTCGTCGTCATACACCTTGACCTTGTCGGCGTACTCCTTAATGTTGCTAACAACATAGTCGGTAATCGTATTTCCCTTGCCCGCCGCGATCCTCAAGATGAGCTCGTTCAGATGTTGCCGCCCGAGAATATCCACGTGGTCTGCCGTCTTGGGTCCTCCACGGGGATTGAATCGCTCGGGTTCGTGCTCCATCTCGACAACCGTCACCTTGACACCGGCTGGGTTGTACCTCTTGTAGTTCCACCCGCGGTTACACATGTATCCCGTGCTGAGAAGATTTACTGTTCCGTCGCCCTCTCCCATGACGACACCATGATCCACCTCTCCCTGCGTGAGGGTTGTGTCGATTGTGATGTTCAGGTTCGTGAGAGCCGGTGCGTCTGGTGACCGATAGTAGTAGCCTCGCTCCGTTGCCTTGCCTACACCGTAGAAGCAGTAGATCTTGAGGCTCGGTGCCAGAGGCAGACGTGTCTCCAGGGGGTTGATCCATTTGTTTGGGTCTTTTTCGTTGGCGTCGACCTCGGCTTGAGTGTGTGCTACACCATGGGAATAGGCACCCTTCACATTCCTCGAGTACCACTCCTCTGTAGTGTTGAAGAGATAGTTCATGGCTGACTCGACCGTCAGATTCCGTTCTGGAGTTGTCCAATTCATGCCGCTACGGAAATTGAGGAGAGAACCGTAAGACAGCTCCTGATCCGGCTTGTCATCAGGTGCCCATGTCGAATTGCCCCAAACAGCATCTCCTCCAATGGGAAGCATGGAAGAAATGCCAGGCATTGCTCGGAAGAGCTGGGCTCTTTCGTCTTTGCTCAAAAACTTCTCGAGGCCGTACACGGCAAAGGCGTTCAGCTGAGCTGTGTCTCTCATCTCACCTGACAAGACAGCTGTCAAGTCCTTGACAGCACCAAGCATGCAGCCACTCACGTTGATCCAAGCTTCGACGTGCTGTTCGACCCAATCATCGCCACCTCGTCCACCACTCTCGGATGCGACCCAGTGGAAGAAGTAGAAAAGGACTTGCCCTCCCATGCTGTGGGACACGAGAACAGCCTTCTTGCCCGAAAACGCATGCGCAGTTTCAATGTAAGATTTAAGCCTCGAAAAGTACTGATCGCGTGTTTCGAGGTTGGGGTACGCCAAACGCCAGTCGTACGCGGCAGTGAAGGAATTAGTCGGGTCGTAGCCTATTGATGCCAGATTCTCGAAAATCTTGTTCCAGATCCAGTAACCGGTGATAAAGAAGTCGGTTGCGTCGAAGCCTTGAGCAGCTCGTAACTTGATATGAGGGGGGTCGAGACCGGTCTCCTGATCCAGCATGATATGTTTCTTCCAGTTTTCCTTGTCGAGGACCAGCGCACGCATCATGCTCCAACTACCCCAGAGGCGCTTTCGGAAATACTGGCGGGAAACGTTGGCCGTGCCCCACGATTCGAGGCCTGTTGAGATGACGCCTGGGACCATGATCATGGGGTGATGGGCATGAAGACCCTCGGCGCGGGCTTGCAAACCTACGGAGAAGGCATCGTAGCTATCGACGAATTCTCGCTCGCCTTGCTTTACAGCCAGCCATGTTAGTTCTAGCCAACTAGATGACGCTCGCTCGCCAAGACGACACCTGAATTGTTACTGACCACAAGCTCCCGCATGTCCTTAACCAAGCCAGCTGGCAGAACATCGAAGAAGCTGTCCATGCTAAGCTCTCCAAGCTCGGGGAAATCTATGAGGTCGTTGCTTTTCGCGAAAAAGCCGGCGGCTATGATTCCAAATAAACTTCCAAGTAAGAAGATGGCGCCATTCCGGCGTTTCCGTGTCTTGGGTTTTACATGGTGAACAACGTGAGCTACAGTCTCGGGTTTCTCGGGGCTTTCGTCTCGAGGGGTCGAAATTTCACTATCGATGTTGCTGTCGGTGGGGATGGCTCGGCGCCTAATAGTCGAAGAAGACATGGTCGCTGTCGCAAAGGGCCGCTACCACGGGGGAAATGTTAGTAGAACGGAGTGAGCCCTTGAAGTCGATATTGTAACAACCCAAAGAGGCCAGGCTATTCCGTGGAAGTAAGGACCAGGCGGCGCATACCTGAGCTTGGGATGAAGTGGAAGCGAGGACGGTGTCAACTGCGCCGTCCTCGTTGGGCGTGGCCTGGTACTTATTGAAAGGCACGTGGGCGAGTGGGCGATGGGACGGTGTGAGCTAAGCGGCGAGCAAGGGGGGGCGACTACCTATGGCAGATCCAAAGCTAGGCAAAGCTTGTTTCGTGATTTGTTGGACAGATAGAGAGGGACAAATGTTGACAAGCAGTCCCGAGGCATGCGGGATTCAGGTGTGCTTGGCCGGGCAATGTTGAGAGCCAAGGAGTCCGGAGCTCGGGGGGTGGGTTGTTGGAGGCGGCCGAGGAACGAGCAAAAAAAGATGCATGAGCTGCTTGACTTCTCCGTGCGGCCCGACGTGACGTCAATCTCCGAGGGGGGCAGCATCTTTTTCCAGCATGCTCTCCGCCAGAAGAGGTACTTGAAGGTAGTGCGTATTTTGGTGTGGTTGTTATGTATCTGGCCTTGTGGTGAGTGCGCCCGGCAGATGCACAGGCACCATGCCGCAATGGAATGCAGGGGGGTCCCACTGAATGAGGGCACCGGTCCCGTCGTAAATCCTTACGCAGTAGGTAACTGGTAACTTGGCACCAAGTAATACCTCAAGTGCTACAGTATGAATTTTTTTTTTTTTGGTTATGTCCCGACGATGCTTATCGCGTAGAAATGTTCCGGAAGCGGTCAAGTCGTTTCCTCTCTCTTTTGGTCTAACTAATCGAATAGAGGTAATGGGCTCTAAAGCAGACCCTGACAAGCAGCCCAAGGGGGCCGACTTGCATGTGATGGGCCTTGGATGAACCCCATTGCATGAACGCAAGCAAGAATTTAAACTTGGCAGATTTGACGGGCAGTACTCTCGCCTTGAGTAGGACTTGAAGTGAATCCTACCTACCAACCTTGTTACGGTCTTCTCTCAATTACCTGGAATATCCAAGTTTGACAACCCTCACAAACACCACCCAGCACACGCTGGCAAGCGTGAGGCGCTGCCATCTCTGGCTTCACCCTAATGCACCTCACTTTACCATGTGCTTACCTCACCTGGTAGAAACCTCACCTCTCCGCAAAGTCGAGTTTCCAAAACTCAAGTAGGTCTGATTAAACCATTCTAGGTATCCAATGAGATGACTGTCGACGTAGCACGAGGGCGGCCGTTTGACATGTGACAGTGAAGGAAATTCACGGCGTTTGGCTGGAAAAGGAATCTCACTGCCCTGAGGGCAACAGGCCGCCCGTCGGTAGACCCCACTAAATGGCCTGCCCGCAAAACTGCCTTGACCTCCGAATCCGACAGGGACGATGGGCGTAGATGGTGGGCCCCCGGGCGGGGCCTACCGTACTACAGCTGGTAGGACACTGAACACCGCACGGTCTGAGCGGAGCTGACTGACCTGAAGCACCGCAGCCAGAACAACTCGACTCAGTTTTAGGTATCGAATGCAGCGTCCCCCGATTCCGACTCCAACTACGCCCATCAACTTGCACCTGCAAACGCACATCTCACGATCCTGGTTTGGCCGGTTTGCACTCGCCCTTGTCTCATAACCCCCAGCCGCGGCAGAGCCGCGCCTCTTCATCTTTTGCATTCTCGTCTTGCCTTCCTCTACAGCAAACCGCGCGTCACATTGGCGACACCCGGCTATTTGCCCGCACTTTCTCTCATCCGCCTCGTCTGAGATCTCAAGACTTCACTTCTTGCTTCTTACTTGCGCGCTATACAGATTGTCATGCCTTGAGACCATTTCAGGTGCCGATATAGGCTTGTGCGCAACCTCTCACCACGAATTTTATAGCTTTGATTTCATATATCTTGCCTACGAAGTCCGACCTCAAACAAATATACCCCGCGAGACAGCAACATGGACGTTTCCAAGGTCGCCCACCTCCCCGCGGATCTGCAGTACATCCAGTACGAGCACGGCCTCGAAGCGAAATACCTTCCAGCTATACGCTCTCTGATCGCAAAGGACTTGAGTGAGCCATACAGCATCTATGTCTACCGGTATTTTCTATACCAGTGGGGCCATTTGTGCTTCATGGTGCGTTACCTTTCTCTCTATTCCCTCTTGTGTATGTGCCATCGCCGTTGCTTACTTGACCACAGACTTTGAATCCCGCCGACGGGTCTCTCATTGGTGTCATCATCTGCAAGCTGGAAGTGCACTCGTCTCACTCGCCGCCAACGCGCCGGGGCTACATCGCTATGCTCGCCGTGGCCTCGCCATATCGCGGTAAAGGCATTGCTACGGCACTCGTGAAGAAGGCTATAGATGCCATGGCCCAACGGAACGCCGATGAGGTGGTCCTGGAGACGGAGGAAACCAACACACAAGCCATGCGTCTGTACGAGCGTCTTGGGTTCTTGCGTTCCAAGAAGCTACACAGGTATTATCTCAACGGCAACAGCGCCTACAGGCTGGTACTGCTGCTCAAACCTATCGACCCGGATGCCGCGTTTGATGATTCGGATGGCCAGTCTCCCTGACTAGGGGAGTATGGGGAAGATCTGCTTCTCAAGTCAAAAAGAATGCTTGATAACACGTGCGGCGTTATTTGACAACAACCGCACCGAAAGGTTAGATTAGGGTTACGTGAGAGCTGGCAGAGTATCGTCGTTGCTTTAGAACGGGATATTGCGTGGGTAGAAACGTTAGCATCACTAGGGGCATGGGTACCGGACTTGGTGGTTTATTGCGTCGTCGATTCTGATAGATGGTTGAGCGTTGTACAAGGGGACAGAGGCATTTTTTTGGCAGGGCGCATGTCGCGATTCGTATTCACACATATGGCATAGGCTCGTGGCAGTACTCTACATGTACGGCTTATGAGAGGTACATAGCAATCTTCATGTACATTAGAGGAGCAAAGATGAGCTGCAGTCCGTCCTCTTAGCCTTGCTGACCGCCGTCGACTCTTTCCGCTCGTTTCTTCGAACCGATTGACCTAGCTTTTCTTCCTCACTCCCAAAAGTATGCAGCCCCTGAGAGGAGTACTGGTCTTTGCGGCCATCGTAAGCCTACACCTGCAAAGCGCCGCGTCATCAAGTGGATCGTATTTAAGCTCCTCTCGGGAAGTGGAAGACCACAAGGCGGATGATTGTCTAGGATAGCACATCCATAGAACTGTAAATCGATGCTTTCAAGCCCCAGTGATTGCCGGAAGCGATACCGAGATACGTAAATGCATCTTGGGCATGTCAGACCGAAAACTTCCTCCGTAATAGGAGGCTTCTACGAACCTGGTTTATAGTAGATAGGGCGTCCCATGGCCTCGACGAGCTTGAGCTCTCTCAACCGACGCAAGACCCGGGTCACATCTGCCATATCGCTGAAGTCGGCCGTATAAACGCATACAATCCGGTCTTTTCGACCGGTAGGGTCGGTATACGGATTCCAAGGGGCAACTTTTGCGGCAATGCCTAGTTCGTTGTTCGCTGTGGCGCTTGCTATGACGTTCCAAACTTCGTTAACATCCTTGGGCTGACAGAAGAGCATCCACTGTTTGACGAGAATGAGCTATCATATTTGGTACGCGCGAGCCTTGTTGAGAGCACTTGCCTTGCCGGCCTTGATCTTGCACATGTGTGCGAGGCCCATGATATCCCGGGTGGCATCTTCTTGTTCTTGCCTCAGCAACTTTGCCTGTACTGCCTTGGATTTGTTGGTCTTTTCGAGGCCTAGCTTGTAGTTGAGTAGGATCTCTAATCTCTCCGAGCCCCCCTCGATAAGGGTATCGAGTCGTGAGCCCTCCTCCTCCGGTGCTTCGTCCTCATTGCCTCTGCTCCGCTGGTTCTGGGCATTGAACCTGTCCTTCCTGCGGATGTACGGATTGCATACAAAGATCCACGGGAACCGCTCGCTGTGCTCCGTCGTCTCGGGAGGCAGACGATCAAGGAAGTCATTGACCGTCTCCGTTAACTGCCACGCGTAGGGAACACCGGCATACGGGTTGTGGAGTTTGGTGCTGTCGAGAGGCTCCTTCTTGACTTTTCTGTCCATCGCCGAGATGGAGGCCGCCGCCGCATTCCTCTCTTCCCACCACTGGGAAACGTCAAATGACGTAACCCGAGACTCTAGGTCGGCGACAATCTCATCGTCCCCTGAGCGCGAATTAGTTCGTCTCGTTCAACATCAATTGAGCCCACAAAGACGCAAACCGTAGAAGTCAGATTCATCAGAATCCATGTTACCCAATGCAAACTCTAGGAAACACAAGAACCAATGCTCAAAGATCACGAACAATAATGAAAGTGCCTTGTCTAGTTGTGAGGAAAGTGCGGTGAACGTTTGCTGTTTCGGAGCAGAAAAAGAAAGCACCACCCCAGTAAAGAATAATGACCATCGACTGTTGTAAAACAAGTACCTTAATATCGACAGGGTGAGGGCAACGTCATCCTCTTATGTGTATGTGCGGGCGGGGGACAACGTGTTGATAAAGTTTAAATCTATTGGAATGAAGGAACAAGGGGATGCTACAGACACCCCGTTGTTTTTGGAAAGGATTGCAACTTCCGAACCGATTAGCGGCTGTCAATCCCGGGGTCGGGGGTTGCGGGATCCTTCCGCCTGCGCCGGGGCCGATAACCCTCCCGGAACTCTTTGGCGAGTGCAGAATCTAAGCACCGCACGTCAAATCTCAAATTCGACTTCCCCCACACGTCTTCCCCGGACTCCAAACTACCTAGGCATTCCATCATCGAAAACCCGAGACGAGACAGCATAGGTCGGTGAGACACCCCGCATTTAGCAATACCTTTCGTCAAACACTCGAAAGCTGGGGATTGGAAGTTTTTCTTTTCCAGCCCAAAAGAGAAGACAACCCTCACACAAACCACAATGGGTGACTCAGCCCCAACCATTACCTCGAAGCAGTCTCTCATCCTCGACTTGCCCCCAAGCTGCATAGAGTTCTGCTCAATACATCCGTCTTATTTCGTAGTCGGCACATACAACTTGGTCAAAGAAGAGGAGGCGAACACTGAGTTGTTAGAAAACGCAGATGTTGCCGTTCCCAAGAAACCTCAAAACCGGAACGGTAGCTTGATCGTATATCGGCTCGTAGACGGCCTTGTGTAAGTCTGCCACTTGCGTACCAAGAAGGATTGTCCTCTTTTCTGTTTGACTTACTCGTTTATAGTCAACATGTGCAAACACTCTTGCACCCTTCAGCAATTCTTGATCTGCACTTCTGCTCATCGTCTGGGCGGGAGGATATCTTGGCTGTAGTTTCGAGCACGGGAACACTTTCCATCTTCAAGTTGGCCCCGGACACCGACGACGCAGAGCCGTTGAAGCATTTGGCCACGAGCAGAATCTCCGATGTACCTGAAGGCGTTCTCTTCCTCTCTGGGGTTTGGGACCCGAACGATGCCGCCTCTATGGCGTTGACAACCTCGTCGGGTGAGGTGCGCATTGTAAAACTCGGCGATTCATGGGAGATTGTAGATGAAGAGGACTCGGAGGCTATTATTACGCATTCTCTCGAGGCCTGGACAGTCGCTTTCTCGCCACCTGACCAAACCACGCCATTCATCCTCTACTCCGGAGGAGACGACTCGGCATTGCGCTACACATCGTATTCTCGCAACGAGGATGCGGCTATCGAGGCTCTGTATGCGCCCCTTAACATCCCCGGCCACGGTGCCGGCGTGACGGCTATCCTCCCTATACCGCTCACTCTTGCAGACAACTCAAGACTACTAGTTACGGGTAGTTATGACGACACAATAAGAGTCTTTTCGGCACAACCGCCGCACGAGACGTACGGTATGCGAAAGGTCAAATGTCTCGCAGAGGAGAACCTAGGAGGTGGTGTGTGGAGGCTCAAGTTGATCGACATGAAAAGCAGTGCTGATCGATGCCGCCTGCGCGTCCTGGCATCGTGCATGCATGCTGGCGCCAGAGTCGTCGAACTCGAAGGCCCGCTAAGCGGCGAAGACTGGGCCGTGACTGTCCTGGCCCAATTCGAGGAACACAAGAGTATGAACTACGGAAGCGATTTTGTGCCGGCATCGGAGAGCAAGCGTCTTGAGTGTGTATCGACGAGCTTCTACGACAAGCTTTTGTGCCTGTGGGAGGTAGAACTAGCCTAGGTCAAGGTGGAAGAATGCAAAGCAAGTAAAATTGACAGCCTAGCTATGATGCCTAGTCTTCCTTCCAACCCCATTTGCCGACTTGATGTACTAGGTATGTCTGGGGAAGACAGGGGATGGTATTTGTGCTTAAGATCAAGTGCCTCAGACAAGGGGTTTGCCATGTTGAAGACAGGATTTGCCTGTAGTTTCTATGCATACTCGCGCAATTAGGCTGATGTGATTTCCGATGAGACGGTCCCATCATTGAAGCAACTTGCGTAGTCTATAAACAGACATGTCAGATACCGCATTGCGGCGTCAAGGGGTCCTCATGCATCCTTTCCCGCAATTGGATGATAGCCAATTCCTAAAAACGTGGGGGGAGGTACGGATATTCGATTGCCAAATGGCGGGGTATTTCCCTGGGTACGGTAGGCATGCATATACCAAGGCTAAGTTGGCTACCCGGTAGCATGGCAAGGTATGAAGATGCCGAAATTAAATAACGTAGATTCACGAGAACGCATCTGCCTAGGCGAGGTGATGTTAGTTGAGGTGGGGTGACAGGTTCTCTCCGCATTTCCCATGTTTTCGTCCGACTCCCAACACATGGGCACTTGTGACATGGGACTTGAAGATAATTGGGGGTATCTTTGGAATGCAGTACCTCACTTGAGATGGGAGAAATGGATGATGCAAAACATGAACCGTCCTGTGTGCATCGCGACGTGTAGTCTCCTGCTTTATTGCCTGCTTCCAAGTCGGTCAAGTAAAGGCTCAAGGCAGGGCAAAGCAGGGTTTCATTGCGTTAGGTACCTACCTAGTAAGTCAGGTACGGACCTGGGACCTGTGAGGTGAGTCTGAGATGGCCCAGCCCCAGGTACACGGTCACCCCCCGGCCCGAACAGCACAGCACCGGGGACAGCGCATCACAGCAGCAGCAGGGCACCCGACAGCAACCATATGGAACCTTGCCCTGCGGTGGGCGGAACTGCTGAGCGCGTCGGACCTGAGGTACCTGGGGCGTGGGCGTGGGTCACCTTACACCTTGGGCTCACCTCACCACCTGCCTGCCTTAACGCCGCGCCAATTCCCACCTTTTAGCTTTACTTTCTGTCCGCCTCTGACGATGCAATTCAATATTGCTTCTTGCTCCTGCTGCTGCTGTTGCTAGTCCTTTAGCTTCTACCTCTGTCACGGCTGCTACACGCATACCATTTCCGCGCAGCTCTCAAGATCGACACTCGCTTTTGCATCTGCGTACCTCACCTTAACCAATCCCAGTCTAATCTCTCTGCTTCCTTCACTACTGCCGCCCCCCGACAAACTTTCCGCTGCTCAGCTTTGTCTTGCATATCCTTCCCACCGCATCAAGGTCAGAACAAACGACCTTGATAAGTCTTGACCAAGAACTTGTGGCAGGTACAGAGCTTCCGGTACGTCCTTGCACCCCAGTGTATGCATGTTCTGTAATGCACTTTCCAGTGTAGTCTTATCCTTTTCCTCTTCTTTGCCATTCGACGGTGGCCGTGGCTAACTCTAATCTCGACTTCTTGGGCAGCATTCCTCACCGAGCTTGCACTTCGATCTTTCCTCCTACCTGCTCCTCTCACCGTCAGGTTCCCTCGAGTCCACCTCCCGACGAATGAACCAGCATTAAGTCACCTGCTGGACAAGCAGCTTCCACGGCTGGACACTTTGCGGTGTACTGCGACCGACGGAACATATCATGGACGGCCGGACGCCCAATGGCGCAGCCGGTATGGCTCAGAACACTACTTCCACCAACGGTGGAAACCCCGACATCATCTCCCAGATCCACCAGGCCCTCGAGGTCATACACAGTCCTTACTCTTCCAACGAGTCCCGCCGAGACGCACAGCTTTTCCTCGAGAATATCAAGGGCATAGACGAGGCCCCCTTCCACGGATTCACCCTCGCATCCAACAAGTCGCAGTCCCCCGTCGTGCGCCACTATGCCCTCTCCTTGCTCGAACACGCAATCAAGCAGAAATGGGCCGAATACAACGAGCAGCAGTCTACCATGCTGCGCGAATGGGTTATGGAGCTTTGCCGCACCCTGTCAAAGGAAGACCCGCTATATATTAGGAACAAGACAGCTCAGCTGTGGGTAGAAGTCGCGAAGAGATGCTGGGGCGCCGAGTGGATGGATATGGACGAGCTCTTGGTACGGATTTGGCAGATCCCTGACTCTCCTGTCCACAAAGAGCTCGTCCTTTTCGTGCTTGAGACCCTGTCCGACGAGGTCTTCAATGGCGACGATGCTGTTGTTGCCATGCGCGAAGGCGTCCTCAGCAGAAGCTGCGTCGAAGTCTTTACCCCAGCTTCCGTTCTCAGAGAGGCATTTCCCAACAGAGTTGCAGGCCCCGAAGTGCGCTCTGGGGAAGAAGGTTGGCTAAGCAGGGTATCCGAGTTTCTCAGTCAATGTCTCGACGGTGACGCACCAAACAACGACCAAATCCGCTCCTGCGCCGTGAAGTCCTTGACTGTGTTCTATTCCCTCATGCCATGGGCCATCCCAAAGTCTGTTGCCGTTGCAAACTGCGTTCCGGTCATGTGCAGGGCTCTTGCAACTCCCGAGGTGTCCATTCAAAAGGTAGCAAGCAGTCCGTCTTGTGGTGCTCGTTCTGCCGTTGAAAAGGAGCCAAAAGCTAACATCGACTAGGCCTCGCTGGAAGCTCTGCATGCGCTCTACTCCCGTTCCAACTTTTCAGAACAAGAGTTCAAGGACCTTGTCGCGCCCATGTATGATGCTAGCCAAGTAGACCTCATGAAGAGGCTCTTTGAGTGGTCTGCTGTGGATGTGGAAGACATTGACGAGGACAAATACCAATTCGGCAAAAAGTTCTCAGAGGTGCGTCTGTCATGGTGTAGAAGCCCCCCCCCAAGTTACTAATTGCTAGCAGATGCTGTCCCTTCTCGGCAACTACCTCGACCGGCGGTTCTCTGCCATATCTACAAACTCGGATGTCAGCGGTTTTCTCAACCTGCTGCTGCTTACCGTTCAGAGCCAGAGTCTCATCATCGCGATTCCAGTCCTGGCAACCTGGACACGTCTCCTCAATAACAGGCTAATTGGACAAAGCCCAGCCAACAGTCATCTCGTTGGGCCTCTTCTTGAAGTATGCGGCTCTCGCCTGATACGCTACGAGAATCTGCCCGAAGACACCCAAGACCAGACCTTTATGTTCCTGATGGAGGATACCGATACCGTTCCCGAGCGTCACGCATTTCTCGGCAACTACCGAAGATACAGCACTCAAGTCATTGAGACCATCGTCCAGCTCAAGCTATCCGACGCAGTATACCACGTTCTTGGTCAAGCGGAACACGTTTTGCAGCATCTATATGACGAGAGCCCGCCAATGAATGGTGAGTTGACAGGCATAATCCTTGAGCGGTAGCCAAAGAGCAAAAACTGACCTTCCAGTCGCGACGTATTTTAAACACTCTATGCCTGTTCTTCGTGTCGATGCTCAGTTTACAGTCATCGAAGCCGCACTCAAGGGCTACATGAAATGGAGAGCAAGCACCACTCAGCAAAGCTTACCAGACTACGTAGGTGACGAAGTCTCCGATATTCGAATCAATGCTGACTTGCTTCTAGGAGCAACAGCGTGCTGCACTAGAGAGGGATTTGGAGTCGTGGTGCACCAAACTTCTGGAGATGAAGTTCGAGGATCCTCTGATTCGCAAGAGAGTTTTACAGCTGTTGGTCGCCTTCTCAACAACAGCACTTGACAAGAAACCAGGCTTCATGCTCAAGGTTCTCGAGCACATTTTGATGACCTGGCCGGCGCCCCAGCCGGAACATCGTGCTTTCAATGAAGCGATCAAGGACTTCCAGTCTGAGAGCATGGTAGAGTTGCAGAGGCTAGCGTCCAAGGTCCCTGATCACTTGCTCGCGGTTTATGATCAAATCGAGGCAAAGGTTAACGACATGATCTCGTCTGGTACTCTGGATGAGAAACGCCAAATCGCTTATCAAAGCTTCCTCTTCATCATCATTCACCGAGCATCCAACATCGATCCGGCCAAACAGGTTGAACGACTCCAGCAATTCATCAAGCCTGTCACATCCTCATGGCAGAACCAAGAGCTGAAGAACGCATTGTCATCGTACTCTGGCTTTTGTGAATTGATGGCCTTGGACAAGGCAAAGAGATACCTGATGAGCCATCGCGTACATGAAGTCAAGGAATGGGGTTCCTGCGAGTTGGATGCGGAGGGTTTGGCTCTACAGGCTGAATTGGAGGAAAGGCAAAAGGTTGGTAGAAGCGAGACACGTCCAATGTGGTGTTATGCTTACTTGTCTACAGATGTTGCCGCTCAGGCCTACCAAGTCTTTCCTATCATTCTCTGTCGAGAAGCTTGAGAAGACGTCGACGCCATTCCAGATCTCGTACCAGCTGTGGAATGACAGCTTTCCGCTGATCCTTCCGGATCTTTTGCAGTTCCTCAGGTAAATTCCGCTTCATCACTCGTGGTGTTCGTCGACTGACAGGCGTTGTAGCCATGCCCACGCCTCCCACAACCCAGATAACTGGACAGAACTGCCCAACGAGATGAAGTCTGTTGTTGGCAACGTGCTCAGCGACCGTTTCTGGCAAGCAGGCATTTCAGAGGGCAGCAAAGATGAGTTCTACGCAAGGGTCATGGATAAGAAGAACACACTCGAAGGTCTTGCATCGACGATCCGCGGAACCGTAAGGTTTGTAAGGGAAACTTGTTACGCGATCATCTACTGCATGAGTCGTTTGGAGATGCAGTTTTACGGCTTCAGCGAGCTGCCCGGTCCGCTTGCGCAAGCACTCTTCCAGAACTCATTCCACCTGTCAGCACATCAGCAAATCAATCTGCTCAACCTCGTCAGGTATCTTGTGGATGACTGTCCCCTCGAGCAGCGAGAGCATTTCCTACCCCCACTTCTAGCTGCCTGCTTCCAGCAAATGGACGCCAAGATCAATGCCGAATGGGAGAACTTGGAACGTCAGCAGGCCATACAGGCAGCTGCCGATGCTCTGACGGAGGAAATGAAATCAGAGAGCATCTTGCGCCAAGTCACCTATACCGCAGTCATTATGGTGGCGGATTTCTTGGACCCTACGAAAAGGAGTAAGTTAATCTTCCTTCTCCTTTCTTCCCAGACTTGATCCTCGCCCATCTCCTCTTTCTTCCTCGGTCAGATTGTCGCAGTCTCCCTCCAACCGTTTGCTACTCTAGGATCCCTTTGGGCCGTTCTGTAGTAGACTATCTGCCTGCTACCCCGCTCCTCATCCTCGTCATTTCCCCGTGTGCCTCGGCTGGGAGCAGACGCCGGTGGGGATGGCAGTGCTGGTTCGAGGGTTTTGGAGAGACGGTATACATGGCGAATAAGCTGACATGGAAATCTAGACCCCCCGCCATTGAGATCTCAGAACGGTCAAGAGCAATCACGGAAGTATCCATCACTTAGGAAGTTTTGCCTGATGCAGTCGACCGTAGTTGAGCCATTGCTCCTCTTCTGCACGCACGCCATCCGCATGCGAGACACTCGTTGCTGCAGCATAATTCTGCGAGTGTTCCGTTCCATCGTCCCAGACTTCACCGTGGCTGAGCCACTGTCGCCCAAGTCTTTACCCCAAGATGGTGCTGAGGTGGCACCGTCCAGCAGGGACCCTTACCTCGATACCTCGCCAGTATCTGCGGAAGCAGCTACTGCCATCAGGGAATACATAGCTTCGGACGTGCTCCGGGCTTGCATTACCTCCTTCCATGAGCCCTACTTTGTAGATCTACAAAAAGACTTGGCGTCTCTGATCGCTGCCATAGTGGTTTACTATAGCCCTGTCACGAGCACCCCGCGCGACATACTCATGTCCCTGCCTAACATCAGGCAAGCAGATCTTGACAGACTCAATGACTTTGTGGCCAAGCCAGCCTCACACACGCGGCAGCAGAGAGCACTTGTGCTTGACTTGCTCAAGGACCTCAAAGGAGTCAGTATTGCCGAGATGGGAAAGCTCCCCAAGAACAGCGGCTTCGGGCGCAGCAAGAGGTCAAATCGTAGCAAGATGGCTCAGGAGTTCATGACACCGGCCAACGAGTCGAGAACACGGGGCGGTGGGGTTGCTGATGGGGGGCGTGCCACACCAGACGCCTTGGAGGGGGTGGCCGGCCTTTTCGAGGGCTGAGAAACCAACGGGAACCTACCTTGAGGGAACCTACCTTGAGGATGGAAATGCACCGTTATCCGGCAAAGGCTATGTGCGAACATGTGCCCCGTCTCGACCCGGCCATCTGGCCAGCAGTTGATGGATGGGCGTCCAACGATCTGGCCGAATCGAGAGTGATTGGATGGGTATCGAGGTGGGCTCAAAATACCACCTGGGCTGGATAACTAGAAAGAAAAAGAGTATAGATATGTCATGGGCTGATGGGAAGGACTAGGATCCCAGCCATGCTTTGGAGGATTGAAAAGATACCAGTTTTTTCCCAAGGACCGTAGTCCCCCCCCCGCTTTAGAGTTTGCCGTACCGTTGAGCTGATAGTATGAAGAGTTACGGATACAGCAACGGTGAGACTACAATGACCCAGATCGAAAAGTGACGCGCATCAACATACAACGTACTTGCCTGGAGGTTTAACAGGCACGCTGGCAGCATCTGCTCAGGCCTTCCCAGAGCAGAAAGGCCCGCCATGGCGTACATTTGACAGCGTCGGGAGTTGAGATGGTCGGTGGGTGGGATGCGGCTGCAGTGCTGCAGGTGCAGGTGGTCGTATGTAGTCCGCAAGCATTTCCAAACTGAGATAGCTTCTCATCCCGGGATCCGAAAGAAGAGGGACCCTCCCTTCCCCCCGTGCTGCCCTCCCCTCCCCTTGCCATGCAGGACTGGGCAATTTTTTTTTTTTTTTTTATTTTTTGACTGGGACTGGCTACATGGTACATGATGACTTGGGTATTGAGGAACTCGGGCACGAGGGAGGTCGATTCACCCAAGGGAACCGGTATAAGACTGGACGGGGAGACCCCCCGGGGCGAATGGTCATTGCTGCACGGCCGATTCGTACCTTTGGGGCGACAGATGTACCCGTGATTGAAGCCCCAGAACATGGTTTGGAAGAGAGAAAGATCCCGTCGTCTAAACTGGGAGGTCAATAGTAGGTGCATCTGCCCATCTCTGCTCTTAACCTTACTACGCTTACTTTGTTGTATCCGCAGCCGGGACTTCGGGACGGGAATCAAAGGGCACGAAGATCCGTAGAGACAGGGACCCCGAGGGCCCAGGGCCAGGGCCGTGGCTGTGAGGAGCAGCAACTTGGCAAGAGGAGCGGCGGGTAACCCGACGATCAACCTCGGCGATCGCATCGCATCACATTGCATGGAATCTAGAATTGGTGCTACACGGCCGTGTTTTTTCTTTCTCTTTCTTTCTCTTCGTACATTGCATCCCCTGTCCTGGAGGTAGTCGGGTCATTCTTGTTTAGTTTTCTCAAGGAGAAGGGGGTCAAAGGGCGAGGAACATTTGCACGCATGAGCTGTATGACGGTGGGGTTCGTCGAATCGTTGGTACTACTCCATGAACCACATTGTCGTCTATTAGAAACGGCGGCGGGAAGACAAGATTTCTTGTTCTCGGGGAGATTTGCGCCCCTCTCTGCGTGGAATGGTTTCCCTGGCCTCGAAGTACAAAGTAGGTGGAAGATGCCGAGGCGATACAAAGAGTCATCATCATCACCACCCTACGGATATTGAGCAACTCCAATCATCCACTAACCTACCATGTTAATAAATTTCCAGGCACGCCAGGTCACCACGTGTTCATCAGGAGAGAGGGGCGGAAGGTAATTGTCTTGGTTTCCCTGGAATCCCTCCCACTACCTGTCTTCGGCCGAGGCATTGAAGAGATGAAGTTGTGAGACGAGGAGGGGAAAACGATTCATCGGCACTGGCTCGCCACACACGCGTACACACAGACACACCATCCCGCCTCCAGCCCCGGCGGCTAGATCTACTATCAATCTGTTTGGAACCGTACTTCAATTTGCCATCGTTGAGCTGAACCGGCATTTCGTTGTTTGTGTGTTTGTGTGGTTTGCTATACGCCTCGGCAAGATGGCGTCGCAGAGCTCCGGGAGACGAGCAAGTAGTTCATTTTCCTGTCCCATCGATTTGGGTCCAAACCTTGGAGTTTGGGGGAGGGGGTGGGAAGGGATCTACCCCGTAAGCTTACCCACATAAGGTATCCTTAGATAGAGGATCGGCGGGCGGCAGACGGCATACACGGATACAGGCATCGAGAATTGGGGGCGATAGTGTTTTGTAAAACGAGAAAACATGACCTTGTCTTGTAAGGTGTTTGTGTGTACCATACCGTCGGCTTTTCGTTGCTGTATGCAGTGACACACGCCCGATGCCCGGAGCCGTATTGGCGGGTCTTACTCTGGGTAGACCACCGATGCGTTTCGGGGCACTCTTTCCCATAGAAAGAGGTGACAAATAATGTCATCGAGAAGACATCCCTTGTAATTTCATTGCGGATTTGGGTACACAAGCCGGCGTGTGAGAGATGTAATGAGCTAGATGGAGTAGTTTGAATACCCGCGCCGTGGTACTTCCAGTGTAGAAACCAGGATAATAGAGGAAAACGGACAAAGGCCCGAGTAAGTGTGCGAGAATGCGAGGAACACTGGAAAGGTCCGACGGCGCGTTCTAGAGATCCCGTCTCCCGATAGACAGGGTTGGAAGAGCATCATGCGGCATGATTTACTCATGGGACGAAGCACGACCTAGGGCTGTATCGGTAGCCAACAGAAAACCATGGAAGAAGCACTGAACCAATCGGCCGATGAAGCTATTTATTCAACGAGACTGGGATATGGCAAAGTCCCATCTAACGTTTAACGCTCGTTGCGTCTTGACTTTGCAGATTACCTCATCTCTCGTTGTCGTCAATTGACTGTGAGTTTATTTACCTTGGCAAAGCAAGGTTCCCGTGTTTTCCGGTTAAGCAGCCTGACCGTGAACCCAACCGACGATGAGCGTATGGAGTAGGCTTGATCAGCGGCTTTCGCGAAGTTGAGGTGAAAAGCGAGGAGTTTGTTATACAAGCCGGCGAGGAGTATAGCCTGCTGCCTCATCGATTGTCTATGCGTGGATGACGGAGAGACGCCTGAGAGATGACAGCATTCGGCCAGCCTGGAACGATAGGAAGACGCGGTCCGTGCAATGCGAAATCCCGGAGCCGCGAGTAAGATAAGTGGGATGACTTGCTTAAACTCAAGATTCATTAGTCGAGTGAGTTCTTGGATGATCCAGCTTACATCCGCAACGGATAGGCTTTCCTGTATATGGGGATGTCTTGTGCTGCTGCTGCTCTCAACGGTTCACAACATGTAGATATCATGTATCCCTGGCACAGATACACTGTACAGGACATTAGATGCGAGGTATCGGTCGAGCTTGATACGCTGGAGCCGTTGGTTTTGGTTTAGTACATCCATTCACATGGATACTCAAGTCGCAACACGCACGAAGACTTTGGTGACCCCACAATTGAAGAGGATGGGACGTTGTCATAAATGACTGGTAACATGCAGTCCACCTTTGCCATCCCCTAATGCGTAAGCCCAGGCCAGGGTTCTGGAGCCGAATCGAGGGTGTATCCTCATACACCTCTGTACCTCTTCTGTGTGGACTTGGATGTATCGGGTGATCGGGTGGTGGTGTAGGCGTGCTAGGTATGAGTGGTAGGCCCCGCGGTGCCGTCAGAACGATATCTGAAGATCTGAGAGAAGCAGCGTGGTTCGCTGTGATCGACCGACCAAGCCTGGCTATTTCCGGAGACTGCGAAGATAGCCAAGGGGCCTTGGGGGCCTGGGCTGGCTGCGGAAGCTTTCGATCCTGGGCGTTTGGTTGACTTTCTTCCGGCCTGGCCTGACGAACGTGTTTATTTACCAGCGTCGGCCTGATAAAGCCTCAATGATGGGTGAAAACGACACTTGTAGCTCGGGATAGGATGATTTGGAAAGAGGGGTTCCCATGTAGATTTCGCCGCTGAGCTGACCCAATATGGCTTCATAGCCTTTGATAGATTCTGCGCTTTGGTGTTGAGGCGAACAAAGTATCGGAGTCCGTTGAACGACTGGAAGCCGTTGTCGTCTTGATCTAGTTCGACTGTGCGTCTGAACTGATTAGGCTCTGACGTTTGTGCCGGGCCATACGATAGATGTCAGAAGGGGTTGATGGGCAAGTGACAGGCAACGTTGTTGGATCACTGGGTCAATGGTAATCAAGATACAATTGGATGGCCAAGGAAGGTTTCCGTTTTCCATCGCCGCCGTCGTCGCACCAAGAGGGGAGGAGGGGACCCAAGAAGTGGTCGACTGTGAGTCTGTGAATGAGACATTGAGGCTGCGCAAAGCGTCGGACACACTGTGCTGGCGTGATGGTCTTGTTAACCTAGCCAGCTGACAGGGAATGGTTCAGTGCAGGATTCCTTCCATGCCACTCTATCTGCAGCTGAGGGGGGCTTCTAGCGTAAAGGTAGCTTAGCTTCCACTGGCGATCGTAACATGTTGTCTCCAGTCGGAACTCTTGTCTCGTCTTGTCATACGGTAGCATACCTTGGGGATACATCAGTCGGTGGATCGGAGCGGAGAATGGAAGCAAAAGAAACAAGACTTTTGACTCTGCTTCACAGCGGCCGCCGTACGAGGTCCGTGAGCGGGAGACAGTGCAGTGACATCGCACTTTGTTTGTCCGAGTCGAGTCAACTAGGCTGGATAAGTTGTAACTGTGCGTTGGTCCGTTGGATTGGATTGTGGGTTCGAGATTGAGCTTGTCGACTGTTGTTGGTTGTCTGAGATGACGGGATTTCTGTCAACGGCTTGGCGTGACGCGATTTTCACTTTCTGCTAGTGAGCGGATGCAGTATTTCTGCACCGACGAGACGATAGTTGCAACTTGCGTTGGGGCAGAGGCTTTGTCAACGGTCCGATCCGGAAATGTCAGATTGGTAGATTGGCAGACAAAATATCCTCACGGTGGTAGTCGAGCCCATCAAAGCCGCCCATGCGCAGATAGTACATAGAGACTGGAGACTCGAGACTAGAGAGTCAGAGTCAGACTAGGCCAGAGGGTGATGTGCATTTGGAGGATCCATTCAGGGCATGTTTGCTTTTCCCGCCAGTC